GTGCAAAGCTACAAGAGGGCTATCTGTGCTAGCCGTCCCTAATTTAGCAGTGTAAGACCAGAGGGAATGCAGCTAGTCATCACCACCCACCGCCAACTCTTGGACTACTATTTTACCAACGAATAGTGGGATTGACCATTACATTATAATGCCCCCACGGCTGAAAGGGCGAGCATGTTTGGTGGGACGGGGATTCGAACTCGCGACCCTGAGATTTCGAGTCGAGCGCCCTAACCACCTGACCATGCCGGGCCACACACATCTATACTTCCATATTCGTATATTTGATTATTCAATTCTGTTACATTTATAATATATGTGCATAATAAACTCAGTAGAACATCCACAATATATTAGACCCCACCTCACCCCCAATAACTACAGCAGCACAGTAGTTATGGAAGAGAAAACACATGATTTTTATATATTACGTACTTCATTTTCATACATATTATATAAACTACACACATTTTATGAACATGTGAAATATCTTTTCTGATTTTCTTTTCTCACATTCTTTATTACTTGAACCGAAGGACCGAGTTCCTTAGTCACATCAATATAACCCTCAAATACAGTTTGTTTGTTTTTCTTCTTACAAAAGAAAATAGGAACTCAAAATTGCAATGTGTTGTCACTGAGAAGCATATACTGCATTGGGAACATTTATACATTTACAGCATGAAAAAATGACACATTTCTCTGCAATTTAAATTAAATAATAGAAATACAGATAAGTATGTTTACTTACAGGAGGACATTGTGCTAACTTGTCAGCTGCCACCATCTGTACATTTAAGTTACGACTCTGGGATTTCCCTCTGGATTTGATGAGTCGTTGTAGCACCTAATATTTACAAGTTATTTCTCAGAAGTATGTCTAACATGATATGAAAAAATACAGACAAGAAAAAATAAATAACACATAATTTTTCTAAAGATTTTAACATTCTTTTACAGAAGATGAGATTTAAAATAAAATTAATTACATTACTTTGAGCTGTTTACTATAAAGATTTTCAACAAAATTTTTTGGTAAAAAAAGATTAAATAATATACTAACATAACTAGATTTTTCTGTAGTCATGAATTATTATTTGTGATTCCCCGTTGAAGGATGTTTTAACTAAATCTGGTAAAATAATAACACAGAATGAAAACAATTAGATTTTTTTTGTATCATTCATAAATACCACTTACTACATGAAAGCTGAAAATATAAAACTGTGTTACGTTTAATGATAAACAAGCACTATCATTAAACACTTGGTCACAACGACATATTTTCTTTAAATGACCAATAATGTTAATTCATGCTATTATATTAAACAAAAATCATGTATTTAAATGACCTAAAAAGTTCTTGATTATGGTTCTTATGAAAAATAACAGCCACGAAACAGAAATATCATTTCTTAACGCAACTGACTTTAAACCTATTAAACTTGCATTCTTCAAGCACAACTATCAAGATTTAAGGCTATTAATTGGAGACCTTATTCATGCTAATCATGACAACAGCAATGTGGAGACTGAAGTTTTAGAAGAATAAGCATTCAAAAAAATATAATATAAGGCATGTATATTTAAAAATAATTTTGTTTAAAAGCAGCTAGTTGGTTTGTAAGTAAGAGTTTACAGAATGTCTGCGTGTAACCACGGAAGGAAAACCAAGCGTGAAAGAGAGACAGTCAATTTTGCCATATTTTCTACCACTTCTTTCAGAATATAGGCCTTTTTGAAAAGAACAAAGTACTTCGATTTAATTTACACGGGGAAAAATAATTGTGTAACAATACAACCGATTAGCCTAAAAGCTGGATAAAAGTAAAATACAGGAAGAATAATTAACTTACCTAACATCAAATCAAGACAAGCCTGATGAAACTTAGTTGAATGGACGGCAACTGTGTAGAGGATGACATTTTAATAGTCTTCCTGATGACAAAGACATACGACTTTCGAAACATCGTCCTCTACACTTGTGTCTCTACAACAGGCAGTTGTCGTCCATTCAACTAAGTTTCATAACGAATACTCTGCCTAAACAATCTATCAAAGAAGACAAGCCTATTTCAAATATTCATGGACATCCGTCTATCATCTAAAAAATCTTTCAATAAAAAAAGATCCTTCTAAAAACTAATAACTACATGCTTAAGTATCATATACAAGAATTATCTACACCAGCTGTCCTTACTTTTAAATGGACGGATTAAAAAGAAGGTAACTAGTCAACAGCATCCACTACTAACTCTTGAGCTACTTTAATGAAACAGTCAGATTTTAACATCATTCGTGAAATGCGCAGACATCCTTAAAGTGCCAAGAAAATTTCTTTATTCTTTTCTGTGAGAATGGAATGTGAACTATGAACCCTCAGATCCAGAGTCCAGAATTTCCCACTCAAAAACAGAAGAACCTGTTCTGTTAAGGTTAGGGTCATCCCTCTCAAAAGTATGGGGTACGGTCTCCGCCTCAGGTACGCGGAAAGCCTCGGCATTGGACGCCAACCACCGGTCGAGGTATCGCCGACGGAACCTCGGCCGCGTTCCCGGAGGCGTTCCGCAGAGGCGTAAGGTACCGCCGTCGAGATCGGGTCCGTGAACCTTAACAGAACACCTGTTGATTAACAAAAATTTCCCACTCAAAAACAGAAGAACCTGGCACAAAGATGAACTAATAAAAAAAAAACTCTCACTTTTAAGAAATTTCAAGCATGTTCCAAATCTTTAAAAGAAATTTTGTCTTATTTTACTTTAACAGTTCTTGGATTGAATTATTAGTGATACACAAGTAAACATAAAGTATATATATAAATCTCTTACCTTTGGTGATGATATTTTCACATACACTATGATAGGAGCTAACGAGGTTTTTCCTAGCTGAGAAGGGTGGTTTATTGTATCGCAATCAAGCACAACCAACTGTAAAGTTCTGGCAAGCTCAAAAATCCTTTCTATTTCGGCTTGTACTTCAGCTGCATCAAGAATATAAAATATTTTTTTCATAACCACCCTGTATAAGTTTGAACTTAAGAATGTTCATAAAAGTGATGTCTGAGTTCTAGATTTTTTGAGAGATACATTATGTATGATTAATATGAGTCTATATCTTTTGCAGGGTTTTTTAAGAAAAAGAGTTTCTGTTTTTACTTAAAGGTAAGGATGTCATAGCTACTGAAGTTTTCCCCGAATCGTTACGTACGCAAACACACACACACAAGTACCGTAATCAATGAGTTTAAAATCTTGCCAACTCTGAAGTGCAAAGCTCTATTACAATTTAAATGGAAAGTAGCACATGAAACTAACAAACTCAAAGATAAAACTTCAAGTCTTAAGAATTTAAAATCTTGCCAACTCTGAAGTGCAAAGCTCTATTACAATTTAAATGGAAAGTAGCACATGAAACTAACAAAGTCAAAGATAAAACTTCATGTCTTAAGAAAATCTGATACCATAATTCAAGTAAAGAACCATGCTTATATCAATTATTAAAAACTGTTAAACCAGTGTTCCTCTTCCTCTTACATACAACCATAAGTCTGTAATGCCTTCAGTGACCTGATGAAACAAATCAAAACATAATTTGAAACTTCTTTTTGTTTTATTTAAGCTATGTACTCAGTGTGTTAACAAAGTTTCTTCATGAGTGCTTAATCTACTTTATTTTTGATATTTGATGGAAGATATTTTGTACAGAATGTCTCACTCTCCTCAACTGAAGAGCTCAAAAGAGTTTGGTTTGTTTCGTTTGTACTGAATTTCGTGCAAAGCTACAAGAGGGCTATCTGTGCTAGTCGTCCTTAATTTAGCAGTGTAAGACTAGAGGGAAGGCAGCTAGTCATCACCACCCACCGCCAAACTCTTGGGCTACTTTTTTACCAACGAATAGTGCAATTAACCATTACATTATAATGCCCTCATGGCTAAAAAGATGAGCATGTTTGGTGGGATGGGGATTCGAACCTGTGACCCTCAGATTGCAAGTCTAGCGCCCTAATCACCTGGCCATGCCGGGCCAGCTCAACAGGGAACCTCATATTTCATCTAATAAATTCAACAGACATAAAAAATCTCTGAAAAGAAAATAGTGATAATCTATTTGTTGTTGAAGCTTTATTATTCTTTTTTGGTAATATATATACTCTGAGATAATAATTTATATAGCCAGTTTCAAGAATACAAGATAGTGAGAATGTGAAAAAAAATAAAATTAATAATTTACTGTCTCCTTAAACCTGCCTATTTTTGTAACTGTTAAAATTTAATGAGCTTTACACGTATTAGTTGAAAGCTATGTTGTATCAAAAATATAAGACCGAGTTCAAAGAGTACCTGAAATTCTAAACATATCAAGGTCTCATTAACACTTGGTTCGAAACAGTTAATTAATAATGTACCCATTTGTTTTTTGGTGAGGAGAGAATGCTGAAGTCTTTATCAAACAGTATCTTGTTACACATGTTGTTGAAGAGCAGTTAAATACTGGAATTATTTCCTTCACTCAGAGGGAGATGTTCTTTGATTTGAGGTACTAGGAGACTTGCTGTGGAACCAATAAAAAACTGTTTACATCAAATACATGTAAATTTCTGAATAATACATGACTGCCATAAGGTATGAATCAAATCTTTCACCTTGAAAAAATCTTCAATGCATAATTGAAGTTTCAAGGTGATTTTCAGCAAGATATGAGGATATGAACATTTTAAAACATTCGATACGTTAGATAATCCATAAATAGTAAGATTATCATCAGAAGGGATTTATGTATTTCAAACACTGGTGCTTGGGTGCTGTTCACTTTTTTTGTAGGTATTTCTTCATAAGTTTGCTAATAATTTTCAGCCAAAAGTTATTCTTAGATAATTTCATGCCAGTTTTGTACTTGTTATTTTAAAGGAAACTAATACAAAGATTAAATTATTCATGAAAACAGATGGTGTGAAACTTCTGTAGTTCAAATATAAACCTGCAAAATTAAAAGTGAAAAACTACATTTTTGTGAAATATGTTTGATTCTTTTTAGCTTTTAACTGTATAAAAATAACTTATTTTGCACTTTGAAACATCATTAAAGTTTTGCACAAGAACTATCATTCTACCTACTGTCTTATTTATAAGTATAATTAATTATCAGCTGGAAAATTAGAAAAGGCAATCACACGATAATAAGTTTATTTTTGTTCTTAATTCTTATTTAAATCTGACATATGTTTCTTTTAACCAGTATTGTCATTTGAGGGGCAACCCCTGAGCTTGGGGAAGGGTAATTTATAGTCAGGCTGGATTAACACAAGCTAATGATTTTTGTATTATTTATAAACCATAGAAATTTAATAAATTAACTAAGTGAGTTTCTGTCCATGTCTTGGAAGTTTGTTTTCTGTTCACAAGAACTCAAAAGTTTGTAATTAATTTAAGGCCATCATAAGTTAATTAATGCAAAATCATGTTCTCCCCTTTAGGCAAATTGCAAAGGTAGAAAGAGATCTTACACGTTTTGAACACGACATATACATAAATTAGTAAAAATGAGGATAAATATGGTTTATGTATACAACGGAGTAAGATAAATACTATCTATCTGGGATTACAAAAACACCTGTCTGTTAATTAAAATTATTTAGTTTTCTGTCCGCATTAATTAAGTAGTGTTAGATCAGCGACTAAGATTTAATTACTTTACATGAGTACACACAATTAGACTGCATTTTAAGTATAATATTACAACTACGTTATTTACAATAATATTGTTTAGCTCATACCCATCAATATAGGACAGAAAGTGTCTGCCTCAAATGGACAAGAAGCAAAAAAAAGGCTAAATAACAATGACTGCTGTAATGAACTGCAACAAGTCTATTCATATGTTTTCTTGATT